AGGTTTAACCACTCTGGTGAAATTGGGTGCCCCATCAGCTTTATTCATTGTTAAATTTCTTTTTTTTTTTTTTTTTGGTTTCTCTTCTTTCATTCTTAATACTGAACCATTTTCAAAGAATATTTACTGAAAACACAACCATAAAATTTTGGGGTCAAGAAAGAGGTGGAGCTAATGACGTCACCACACCAATGAGAGTGCATTAAGATATCAGATATACCAGATACATAATTATTTGTATAATTTACTCTTGTTTTATCAGAAGTAAAACTAAAATTCCTCTCCTTTATTTACGATAACGGAGTTCCTTACCATAACAGCCATCAGAAAAGATGGAAGAATTTCATTTAAGGATCAACAGGCTTTATGGAAGTGGAGATACCTAGTTATACATTCCTTTGGGTTTTATTTGCATGTAATCCTCTTAAACTCGACACTGAAATGCATTTTAATGACAAAAAAGTCAAAACACTACATTACTCTGAGATTGAAACATGACAAGGCATACTTGAAGTTACTGTTACATCTATCAACAAGAAGCACCAAGTGAGTGCATACCTCCGCCAGGGCAAAAGGCTCACTGATGTAATCAAATTATTTGCACTAGAATTACATCCAATCACCTTTCTCAATTACATTGGTTACGTCCATAAACATTCCCTCCTTGGTGGAGGTAATAAAGGTAATGATAATGCAGTCATTTTAAAAATCCTGGATCTGAATCCTGACCCGGATGACCACTAAGAATTTCAAAAAATCTGTTCATAACTTTTGGAGTTGCTGTGCTAACCAACAATCAAGTAAACTAACCAACACTACTGAAAATATGACCTGCTCAGTGGAGATAATGAGGCCTTGACACGTTCTTTCACAGGCATTCAACATCATATGCCAGGCAGCTCTTATGAACACTGCCTGCGTGAGTGGGCAAGAAGAATGCTTTTCAAATCAATCCCTAAAACTGCTACTGACCAACACATGAAGCCTGCTTGTCTTCAAAGAGAAAGGCCATTGTGGTATACTCAAGGTAGTGCAAGTAAAACTTGGATGTGGGAACTTACCCTCTCGATGCAGTGGTGCGACGGCGAGATGAAGTTGAGTCCACGGACGCCTATGCCTCTGAAGCATTCCTGGATGTTGTTGTAAACATGCGTCTGACAGATTTCATGCTATACAAAGCAGAGGGCGCTGCTGTCAGTGGGCTGGGGTGAGCCCTCCCCTTCCCTTGGGTCAAACGGGGAGAACACGGCGAAGAGGACGTCTTCATTGGTCTGGATGCCCAGCTGAGTGGCCAGGTCAGTCCCTGGCTTGCCTACGTAGGCCGCCTGAACCAGGTTGTAGTGCTTGCCCTGCTGGTCCTTGCATTCAATGGGGATCTCCGTGTACGAGTAGTAGGCAGGGTCATTCTGGCAGACTCGCACCAGCTTGCTCATGTACGGAGACCCCGCGCACGTGTCCTCCATCTGCCGCGTGAGGAAGTAGCTGAAATTCTCTGAGCCAAAGCCGTACACGTACGTGATGGGGTATCGCTTCCGCGCCAATGAGTTGACCCACATCTGCGTGCTCGTCGTCACGTCTGTCACGGCGATTTCCAAGAAGCGGTTGTCCTCCAATGAGCGAGATGAGACAGCCGGCACCTCGTCCCTGTACACGGATCTGCCTGTATACGTCACCCCGACATAGAGCACATGTGTGACAGGTGAGTTGGGTGGCCCTGGGGCGATGAAGGCCACGGTGGACGCCGTGGCGTTGTTGGCCACGATGGCCTTACTTACATTGCGGGTCAGCTGCGTGATATCCCGAAGATCGCGCACCTGGCACGAGCCTTGCCGCACGCTGCCGCACACGATGAGGCGCGAGTGCGTGTAGTCGACTATCAGCACCTTGTTGACATTGTTGGTGGGCTTCATGCTTTGCAAGTCCTCGCTAAAGCATCCGCTGGCCGGGCACTCCACGGAGTCGCTCACGGGGCCCGTCACCACGTACTGCAGGAGCCGCAAGTTCGGCTCCAGCTGGTAGAGCCGGTTCACGCCCCCCGCGTACACGGTGCCCGTGTTCTTGTCGACCGTGAGGTGCGTGAACTCCTGCCATCGGTCGTCCTCGAAGCGGTCCACGATGAAGCGCGAGTTGGGCCCCTCGGCGTCACCGCCCCCTGCGGCTGAGCTGGTGGCCGTCAGCACCTGCTGGAGGTAGCGAAAAGTTTACAATTGTGAATAGTAACCAGGCACAAGTTGGCTAAAATTAGGCTGCATGGTGTATTTCAGAATATAAGAAAGGCATTGATATTATCCTGGTTTATGTGTAAAACGAAAGTTAAAAATATGTATATATATTTCTATCATATATCTTACACTTTAGTCAAGGAAATAAAAAAAATACATAAATGCAAACTTTTTTCTATACAAAATTCCTGTATATCACTTAGAAAAGTTATCATAATTCTTTTGACTAAATACTTAGGCATCTATAAAACAGGTCTTCATAATTACATTGGGACAAATGCGATCCCTGTCCAGCCACGCTCCTTCTCACACTGGGCTGCCACCTCACACCGACTACTTGACTGACACCAGCCACATCTAAAGCGCTCCGCAAGATTCAAGCACATGCCACAGTTGCTGGCCATGTGCTGACATTTATACACCAGCACTGGTTGGAGGAATTAAAAAAAAAAAAATGCACAGCTTAACCCTTTCCCTGATACGCTCTGAAATCGTTTGCATCCACTGTGTGATACGCATTTTCTGTATTTTCTGAATAACAGTTTCTGCAGTTTCGAATATTTCTTTTTTGTAGCACATATGCATACAATTCCCAGACCGTAAGGCAATAAATACATTTTACATTATTTGTTATGAAAAAACATTGAAGTTTGAAGTTTGTCGTACGCCCGGCAGCGTCGTTTCACTTAGTTCAGGCACGAATAATCTCTGATATATATACATATATATACATATATACATATATATTTACATATATATATACATACATATGGACATGTATATAAACATGTAAATATATATGTATATATATACATATATATACATATATACATATGCATACATATATACACATACATATACATAAATATATATATGCATATACATACACACACACACACACACACACACACACACACACACACACACACAACATATATATATATATATATATATATATATATATATATATATATATATATACATATGCGTGTGTGTGTTTGCGTGCATGTGTGTGTGTATTATACATGATACACACACATATATATATATATATATATATATATATATATATATATATATATATATGTATGTATGTATGTATATGTATATATATATATGTATGTATATGTATACATACATATAATGTATTTGTATATTTTCCATATATATTTTGTATACACATACACATACACATATGTGTGTATAATGTATATATATATATATATATATATGTATATATGTATCTCTCTCTCTACATATATATATGTATATATACATGTATATGTATATTACATATATATGCATGTGTGTATATACAAATTTATATATATATATATATATATATATATATATATATATATGCATGTGTGTTTATATATAAATTTATATATATACATATATATATACACAAACACACGCATATGTATTTATGCATAACTCCCGTGCTTTTTTTCCTAAGTGAATAAATAAACACACAAACACACACACACACACACACACACACACACACACACACACACACACACATATATATATATATATATATATATATATATATATATATATATTATCTCAATTAAGATAATTGAGACACATGGTTAGTCACTCAACAATTTTAAAAACTAATATACCCTCATATATTTACCATTGTGAAAATAATAATATATATATGCATGTATCAATTAAGCCAGATACAAAATATCAAACTCACCATGAATGTTACCAGGATTATCAAGGGGTTTTGAGCCTCCCCAGATCACAGCAAATGTTGCATTAATTGACGGCGCAGCTGTTGTGTATGAAAATTCCATTCTGTCACAGTAAATAGTATCACTCAGCAAGTTGGCATTTACACTGGTAACTCTTCCCTCAATGTTGAATTGACACACAAACCTTGTCTGCACGATGAATTGCTGCAAAGATAAGAAATCTAATATTTAAAAAATAGGGCAACCTAATTATGCAATATGAAATGGAGATATACTGAAGATTCATTTCTATTTTCCTTTGTAAATCAACAGAAATCTTTTACTTACAGCTATGTTGTCAACTTTGACCTTGATTGATTTTGAGAGCCTGATGAAACCAAAATTTCTTGACTCTCAAGAAAGGTAATTCGAGGAAAATGAAGGGCCACTTCTGATGCTTGGTCCAAAACGCTGAAAAAGTTGCCGTTTGTAATATCTATCCACAAAAAGGCCTTCCATATTCCTCTATTTCTCATTATCAAATCACAGCATTTAAACATTTACACATCATACAAACTTACATTTACACCATTGACTAGAACGTCATTTCTGCAATTTTCTGCAGAGTCGTGTGTGCATCGATGGCCATCAACACACCAGTCACAAGGAAAAGGGGACGATACACATTCAGTGCAGGAGCTGTAGGTAGTGCAGTCAAAAAACGTAAAGTTTGTACACACTAACTCTACACCGTCTAATTTTCGCACACAAAGTTTTGCTGTAAAGTGATCTGAAATGGAGAAGAACAAATTGACATCATATATTCTCTACAACACATTCGTATATGCTACAATTAATCTTCACTTTTACAAGAAAACACACACTTTTATTCTGTGGGATAACAGGAAGCAAGTCAGGCCGGGGAGTAGGACAAGAAACACCCTCAGCAGTACGCCTGGTCTCTGTGCTGAGGTCTTTCCCCATACTGCTAAAAACACACTGTAGCGGTCCATCCACTGGTGGCATGTTCTCAATCATCAGTGCTAACTGATAGACGAAAAATTGCACATTGCATGATCAAACAATACTA